ATCCCTCCCTGGTGCCCTTCAGTCTGAAGGCTGACACTCTATCCACTAAGCCAAACCGACTAGGGACTGATTTTTAAATATAGCTGACAGTTCAAAGTTATTCAGGCACACAGACAACATCTGCCTAAATGCTATCCTTCTTTAAAGCCAGTAAAGAAAATTGGAAAGACATTAATAATAACGTAGTTTTTAAGTACCAGAACTTTTTCAAATACTTTTTGTATTTGCATAAGTTCGATTTCATCCAGGAAAACCACTCAGTGATAAGTATGGCATACCTTTTGCTCCTCATTTGGGTAGCTTCAGATAAGTAATGTCATTCATGTTTTTAGAAATTGATTCACGGTTTTTAGTTTAGGAAAGAGTAGTTAAAAAGAAGTTTCTCATATTTTAAAGAATAAGAAAGACAGGATAATGTAACATGTTGGAAAACATCAAAGTGCATGATTTCTAAGTCCTAGTGACACTAAAAATACGGTTATTAGTAACTATTAAGTGGGGTTTTATTCACAAATGGAATAGCAAGCAAATAGCTAACAGTTTTAACAAAGTTGACTTGCTGTATGGAATGCTCAAAGACTTGGGCATTTTGAGGCACAAAAGTCAAAGGGTCTTTTTATTGATAGAGCTGTTTCTGTAATCCTCCAGTGCACTTGCTTCACTTTTATCTTTCTTTCCTTGTACATTCTCTTTTTTCCTCTTAACATTAACCACCTGAACAGTCATCTGCATTCTTTCCTTTCCTCCTTTGTCAGTCTCCTTTGCCAGAGGGCATTCAGTGCTAAACTCCTAGAACTGCTGTCCCATAAACATTGAAACGTGCCTTCAAAGGGTCTCATAGTAACTCTTTCCAAATGGGGCCCACTGGGAAGGTTAGTGGAAGAACATTAAAAATAGCAGGTGAGATGTTTAGATAATATGGATCTGGAAAAATAGGAAGCATTAGAATGATATATGGTAGTTTGCCTTTCTGTTTTTTGTTTTATACTAAGTTTTTAGATATAGTCTCCAAATAAAGAAAAACATTATTTTCCTGACCCTGTGTAAAGGTAATCACTTTAACTAGTTAATCACAACAAAAGGACATTCATTCTCTTGTAACTGACTTCTTCCTTAAAATCCAGGACCTCAGATGTTTTCATTAACATTGGTTTCCTTCTTCAGGAGGCAGCCTTTTCATAAAATTCGTTTCACATTTTAGAAGTATTACTAGTCAATGATGAGGAATGTGATTTGTCTTCTTGATTTTAAGTAATTTAGGTATCATAGCATCTAATCAACTGTTTCAGGTTTATTTTCTGATATTACAATATGGTACTAGCCATTTAAATACCGAGTCAGTAGTTAAAATAATCCTCTCTAAATAGTAACTATTTAACACACCAGCTTACATGGCCTTTCTCTCAAGGTGGCCACTCTCAATTTAAGGAAATGATCTGCCTTTCTTCTTTTTAAATACAGTATTATGAATATGGGTACTTCATGACTAAAGCATTTTGCCAATCATAGGCTTATTTAATTGAGAATTATTGAGCATTTCTATGGCACTTCAGTGTGTCTATGCCAGAATGTTCCTCATTTTTTTTAAATATATTTTATTGACTTTTTACAGAGAGAAAGGGAGAGAGATAGAGAGTTAGAAACATCGATGAGAGAAACATCGATCAGCTGCCTCCTGCACACTCCCCAATGGGTATGTGCTTGCAACCAAGGTACATGCCCTTGACCGGAATCGATCCTGGGACCCTTAATCCCTCAGGCCAATGCTCTATCCACTGAGCCAAACCAGTCAGGGCAAGAATGTTCGTCATTTTTTTGAAACTGCCTTGAAAGGTCACCACAAAGAAAGAATGAGGCTTATTCTGGTGATAATGACTGCCTCCCTCTATCTGAAGCAGTGATTGATTTGTGTACAAAATAACATTATTAGGTTTTTCATGGCATTTTTTCTTTTTTTTTTAATTTTAGATTCTTATTTTATTTTTATATATTTTATTGATTTTTTACAGAGAGGAAGGGAGGGGGGATAGAGAGTTAGAACATCAATGAGAGAGAAACATCGATCAGCTGCCTCTTGCACACCTCCTACTGGGGATGTGCCTGCAACCAAGGTACATGCCCTTGGCCGGAATCGAACCTGGAACCTTTCAGTCCGCAGGCTGACGCTCTATCCACTGAGCCAAACCGGTTAGGGCTTCATAGCATATTTTCTCTTTAAGGGGAATTTTTATAAAATTATATGTATAACAGCCACTGAAAAAAGCATTCAATTCTGGAATAAAATGTAGTTTTAAATAACTTAAAACTAGTTAATAAAATTCTTAGTTTTCAAATAAACCATGATATTTGAAGTGTCTAAAATCACAGGGTCTTCCCAATTGTTCTCTGCCCTATCCCTAATAAAGTCGAATAGAAAATAGAGCTTAGCTACTTCTCATCCAGAAAGGAGGTGTTTGTTTTAAGCTTTATTTTGGCCTCTGATTTTTCAGTTAATAATATTCTGAGATTTATTTCTTTTTTTAATCAGAGTATCTGGATATTTCACTTCAAATAACTTCAGACAAGCAGAGTTGATTCTTATTTCAAATAAAATAAGTCAGGAGATGGCATAATAATAGAGATTGCCAGGTAATGCAGGAAAGACTAAGCAAGAAAAGATTTTTTTTTTTCCCCAAACAGATCCATTACCTGTTACCCTCATCTTTTTCTTAAATTTCTCTGTGATTTCAGGGACATATATAGAAAGAGTTTATTGATCCCTAAACTCGAAGTTCTTTTTGTGCTTGTCTTTTTCTCGAGCTGAAGCCTGAGCATGAAAAGAATTACATTCAATTAAAAGCAGTGACTCAGGTGGGATGATCAGTAGTGGTCACCTTACTGCTATTCTATTTCCACTGTGTTGGTAAGAGTTTGTACGTTTGGGGTGTTTTGGATATTTTTATTTTTAAGGCTAATGTTCAAGTTTATGGAGTAGAACACTCTTCAACAAAATGGAGTGCCTGATTGTAATAATGAATAAGAAACATTGAAGATTTTTTCCAGGTTATATTTTAATGTAATATCTAAGATTTGGCATAAAGTTGTCATTTTCTGATATTCTCACTTAATAGATGAATTCTAGCATTTTTATGAAGATTTTCTGTTAAGTAAATCTTGTTTTTACATTGGCTTCCTACAGTGACTACTTATAAGAATGTTGAAAATTGTTTTTAAGAAATGTGTTAAAATACTGGGGGGAAAAAGCAATCTTAAAACTATAAGGTACTCAAACCATAATGAGAATGTTTATATATTTCTTGAGTCTCTATGAACATAATATCCTCCTATGGTTATGCTCTATATGTTTTACTCTCTAAGGTCTTAGTACTTTGGCTATTTTTAAATTAGTGCCTAACTTCCTATTCCTTTTAAATTTAAGTATGAAGTAATAATTCTTTTACTCTTCCTTGATCTTTTGACTCACAGTACCTTGGCTGATTG